TACCCAAGAATTTGATTATTTACAATTTGGCCCAAAATTTTGATATAGTGTAAAGGTCGGCACGTGCACGTGCACGTGCCGTGTCGGCCGGTCGGACGGACGGCGGCGGCGCGCGCGTGTGGGTTTATGACCAAACCCAATGGGATATAGGTCTTCCCCCTTCCAAAGACTATTGGTACCCCTTGGGGCCCAAACCCAATTCCAAACTTCCACCTTATAAACCACACCAAAGTTTCCTAACTTTCCTATGTGGGATAAGTGTTTGACAAATCAAATTCTTCCATAATCCTTAGTTTATGTGGGTTACTTTAACGCTTAATATTTCATTCAATTTTAAATGGTTTTCGATAAATAAATATATCACGTTAATCATCTCGCGGAGTAGAACGTGAATATGCTAGGTCCCGTATTATTTAAAAGGTGGGTCCCACTGAAATTTGGGCTCAAAGTTGACCCATTAAACCATTTTTTCCAACAGATTTTGGATCCCAAATTCACTCCAGTGTCAATTCCAAGGCTTTCGAGTGACAAAAAATGGGTTTTAAAAGTGAGAAAGAGAAATGGGAGAAATAGGAGAAAATTGATGTTGCTAACGAGATTGGGGAAGAAGAAGGAGAATTTGGTTATGGGGCATCCCCACCACTCAAATTGACTGATAGTTATATAACGCAAGCTATTCCAAAACACTGTTGTGATAAGGATCCATAGAGATCTATGAGCTATGTGGCTATTGTTTTTGGGTTAGCATAAACAATGATTCATTTGGCCTCTTTATTGATTGCTCGAGGAAGAGATAATTTAATCAATGATTCTTGAACTTTGATATATTTGTTACTTACTCATCGATCTTTAAAAAATCACTTGTTACTCACTGAAATTTGTTATAGATTACTACTTGTTCACCAAAATTTAAAGGGTTACATGTTGCTTGCCAAAGTTTAGATAAAGTTATTCATTGCCCACTAAACGTTACCATAGGTAAAATTGATGGAAATGATATGGGTGATTAATTAATAACTTTGTTTAAATTTGGGTGAGCAACTAATAACTTTTTAAATTTGGATGAGC